CAATTCATCGTGCGAGACACGATCAAAATTCATGTTTTATTTTGTTAATTGACAAGCGTTTGAATAATTAACAACCGTCGGAATTAATTTCACCAGATTTAACATTGCGAGCCAAACTGCATCAATATATCCTTCGGCGAAATAAGATGTATTCTCGGTATCATTATCGAGTCTATCTGTAAATTCAACATCTAGTATCTAAATTATCTCCAATCGTAATTACAGTCTCGCACACGCGCCGGAGAATATAATCAATATTTCAAATAATATACATCGCAGGAAATCGCGCTTTACAACTAATGGCGGTGAAAGCAGAGGCTGATGTGGAAAATGTCCGCCACACGTGTGCGCATCTTATAGATTTTAAGGTATAATTTCCAGCGAAGTGTCACGTGTAATTTTCTGTCAAATTATCTCTGAAATTGACGATTCCTCGGAAAATCTAACTCAAAGTTCTAACGACACCTGTCTAAGGCACCTGGCACCAGCGAGACGAGGATAATATGGGCGCGTATGAGGTGATAAGAATACTTTCACTATTATAGGTCGCGAGTGCACTCTCGAGGACACCCGAGTTTCACGCGTCGTAAGATCGCTGGCGCCAACGACGCTCTACTTGAATAAGGTCAACCGCGATATTACGCGTTGATTAATGCTCTGGTCAGTCTCGAGGAATGCGAAGCTAGATCATACAGCTTGGTCAATATACGTCTATCTGTCTATCGTAAACACGAGTATCGGTTCTTCGCCTCGGGATACGTCAAACAAGTCACTCGATTATGCAAAAAACATAAATCTCGATTATATCTTATAAAGAAATGATTTTGAGGGAATCTAAAATTTTTTGAACGGAAGAGAAGATATTTTTAGTTGAAGAAGAGAGCAAAATTTATGAAATTATTTTTATAATTTTCTATCCAAAAAGAATAACTATAAAAAATATATACTAAACTTCACAACATAATTGCATATTAAAAAGTGACGTGAATTGCAATTTATATCTATATAAAGGGTTACGTTTCAGATTCGTTGTCAGTTATAAAATACGTCCGCCGTGACGTTGTAAATTACACCCGAAACATGTACACGCGTTAAAATATAATGTCGCATAAATTACATCGCTAAACGTACGAGGGAATGCGACATGTACATAACAACGAAGTGATTAAGAGAGAGAAGGGAGAAGCATCTCGCGCGCGAGGAATTGCGAAACTCGTGTGACAAAGTAAGCGCCATAACTGTCGACCTTGCTTCCCGGCCACGGCGCCTAAAAGCAGATTAAGTCTCCGAAAGTGCACTTACATAAGTTCCCCCTTGTACGCGAGAGACAGATGAGAGTCGCGCGAACGCGCAGCGGGACATTTCGCGAAACGGTGACGAAAGTAACGGAATTCCGCGGACGCGCACACACGTGTTCGTAAATTAAAGTTCGCGATCCGAGAGAGTTTAATCTTGATCGATCGAGACACAAATTCCGAGAGCTCTCGGAGATGCAGACTAAAGAGGAGAGGAGAGAAGAGAAGAAAGGGAGGGTTAAATATGAAATATTAAGTTCATGAATAAAAAGAAAGAGGCTGTTCATATTTTTTTCTCGTAAATATTTTAATACGCGTTAAAAATGCAAGGTGCACAGACAGAATTCTTTCTTAAAATTTTTTAAATTATGGTAATCGTGGGGCAACATGGTATTGGTAGACTTTTAGAGTTTCTCAGATTAATATCTGCCATAATAAAAAATATTAATATCTCAATAAGATATAAAATATGTTCAATTAATTTTACTAAAATATATAGTAAAATTTCAATTTTAATTCTTATTCATTCGCAAAAGTCATGTAATTTAAAACGTCGACGTTACATATAATTTGTTCACAATATATATTTTACTTATTTCTCAAAAAATTTGCCCGTATATATTTTCGAAAATCTTTCTTAAAATAATAAAATCTTAATAAAGATATGTTTAATTAATTTTACTAAAATATATAGTAAATTTCAATTTTACTTTTAGTAAAATTGATTAAAAATATTTTAAATTTTATTAAGATTTTATTATTTTAATTAAGATTTTCGAAAATATAGACAAGCACATTTTTTGAGAAACAAGTAAAAATATATTGTGAACAAATTATGTAACGTCAAATCATATAAATTACATAAAGTTTGCAAATAAAAAAAGAGCCTTGATGTATAAGATCCATTTCAAGTACATTGTCGTGTAAAATAAATATCATTTTTATTACACAAAATCCTATCTAAAATGACGAATTATGCATCTTGCATTCGTATTATATCACATTACGCTGAACGCGGAAAATGCATATCTATATCAGGTGGAAATATATAAAAATTTATAGTTCCAATATCAAGCATCTTAATTCATTTTTCAGATAAGATCGAGAATTTATTAGCGCCAGCCTCGCGTCGATCTTTTCTCTAATTATCTATAAAATTAAATCCGCGAATCGCGAACGCGGATTTTTTTCGCGACACGATATCGATCGGATTTACGATGCCCATAGCTCCGTTTTTATTTCCGTGCCAATGCAAATGACGCGAAACGCCGCACATTTACATCGTACGGTATTTTAACACGCGATCGCGTTACATATCGCGTGCATATCGAATTTCAGCAGCTCGCGGTTCGCGGAATCATCGATAAATCTGACGTAAAACCGCGTAAATTTCGCGCAGCGCGTTTTTTTAAGTTCTACGCGTTCTTTAATAATTACTAGTTAATTATCGACAATAATAAGCGAAAGCAGTTCGACAAAAATACGCACTGTAAACATTTGTTCGATATTAACTTGAAGAACCGAACTCGCGTCGCTAATTACGGGACAATCTCGTAAAATTTGTGAAATTCAAGTGATAATATCGTGCAGAGAATCTTAATTACGCCTGATCAATCGCGTATATAATCGCATATTATTGTCGTCGTAAAATCGCTTAAGTGATTACAGCTGTCAAGCTGCGAAAGTTTTCGAAAACCTTGAGCATTCGACATCGACAGCTATGTTGATAAATCCTTGAATCTTAAATATATATATGGGATGTCTTAGAATCCGCGCCCTTAATTTTAACGAAAGATATATAATTGATGAATTAATTTGAAAAGTTTTTCCGTCGAAATAATTTTCAGAGAGAGAACATTTCACACTGAAAAAAATTTGTTAATTTGACTAAACTTTTCAAGTAAATTATTATTTTGTTAATTAATAATGAACATATATTACACAGAGAGAATTTTCTCTTTGAATTTACCCTGAAATCTACGTGAAGGCAAACTCATGATAATCGTAGGAGAATATGATATTGGAAGAATTTTATAAGAGTTTCTCTAATTAATTATTTACCACAATAAAAAATATTAATGTCTACTACAATTAAATATAAAATATGTATGCACATAGTAAAATTTATTATGTGATATTTTTTATTGTGATAAATATTAATCAGAGCAACATCTTGTAAAATTCCTCCAAGTATTATCCCATGATTACCATGATTTTCAGAGTAAATTCTAAGATAAAATTCTCTCCGTATAGTATTTAATTGTAAGTCAAAATATGTTTTGTTATATTTAATGTTATATTTAATTTAAATATATTTTTCTATGTTCAATTAACAAAATAATATTTAGTCGAAAGGTTTAGTCAAGTTAACAATTTTTTTCAGTACATATATATCTTCAGTGTATATTATCTAATTTATTTTTTCATATTTCTGATATATAGTTATGCCGACACGCAAGATGTGAAATGTAACGCAGCGTAATAAAAATGTCCTGCAGTTGCTCTACGACCGGTTCTAGGATTTTTAGATTTCGAAGAAACGGGAAATATATCGCCGTTCAACATTTGACAAACGCCGATCAGATGAAATCGTCCGATAACATACTTATCACCGACTAAACCACGACGCGTGACTAGTCGCGTGAAATAATGACAAGTAACCGCGCGCAAAAAAAAACACGACTCGGGACGAGAAATGCAATCCTTCTTATCGCGCGATCGCGGAATTTCTCGTTTTGCGACACGGTTGGCGACACGAGAAGCTGATGAAGTTTCTTCGCAGAAAATTGATTACAGATTACTTATGCATGAATTCACATCTCCTTATCTTACGAGAGGATACGTCTAGTTAACGTCATGCGCGTGATATAATGTTTAATTCGTTACGAGCTAGTTAAATTTTTCAAGTCAACTTTAAAGATGTTTATTTGGAGCTGGAAATGTTTAATCTAGTTTAATATCATACCGACGATTTTTACTTTTAGTCTTAATTTATGATAATAATTTTCTCCGAGAAAAATTTGCTTCTCTTTTCCAATTTTATATAGAATCATTTTTAATATGTTATGCACTGATAAATACTTATTATTTTGATACTTCGTGAATTTTAGATTATTGAATAAAATCTTTGACAGATACTTATTCACTTGCGCAAATAATATACGCAGCAAAAGTAATTGTTATGTCATTATCATGTTTGCATGTATAATATATCGAAAATTATTCTATGTAACATCGGAAAAAAGAAATTTTTGGGGAGAAGATTATTATCAATAGAAAAAGCAAATAAAAATTGTCGATGTGATGCCAGACTAACTATATATTATATAAAAATATGTATAAATAAAATATATAAAAAAATATACATATATATATATATATAAAATTTGTTTCTTTTTCTGATTTTATGCAGAATAATTTTCGATATATTATGCATCGATATCTACTTATTATTATTTCATTGACTTTGAATTATTGAATAAAATCTTTGTCACAATTAATCATTTATAGACGTCTCTCGTTACACAGAATAATTTTCGATATATTATGCATCGATATACTTATTAGATTATTTCGTGAACTTTAGATTATTCAATAAAATCTTTGGCAATTATTTATTCGCTTATGGACGTCTCTCGCCCATCGTCGCAGAAGAGAATACATGATACACACTATATATAGATAAATAAATGCATGCACACTCACCGGTCGATGTATCGCCTTTGCTCCTCCCTGATTCTGATTGTCGCTGGGTGCTCCTTTGCGCCATCCAAGATGATCCTTCACGTGCAACACGGCTGCGAGATTGCTTGCTCCGATTACACACACAATACCGAGTAATCCGTCAATAACGGCCCGTTATTTCGTACGGCACTCCCGGACATTTTATCGGACACGCACTACACTCGCGAGAGAGTAAACGACACGAGATACGCACGAACACTGATTTATCGAAATTCACGATCTACCCGGCAAGCGCCGGTGAAAAATCCGAGATAACACTTTGCCCAAAATGGCGGCCGAGACGCCGAATGTCGCGAGAAAATCGTCTCGATGAACTCGTCGCTGTCAAAACCCCTCGACGATCATCCTCTTGACACACCAGACACGCGTAATGTCACCTGTGATAACACAAAGACAAGATATTCCGATTTATTTAACGAATACATGAATATTTGACTACAGTAATACTAGGTTAGTGATTAACGAATCCGACTTGCGAAGCTCCGACTATGAAGATCGGAGGACTCGATCGCGATCTTGTTTGTCAAAGAAAGATCGCTCGTTTTTATTTTCCTGAATATGACACTCCCGACATGTTCGTTCACGCACAAAACGTCGTCGTCGACGTGAAAAAGAAGAACCGACGCGCGATCCGACGCGAGTTCGCGAGTAACGTGATACAACTGAAGTTGCCGCGAGTCGATCACCGATCACGTGATCTCTGAACTGAACCTTTCCCTCGTCGACCACAGAACCGCGAAAACGCAAACAGCTGTGCATCTCATTATGTTATGCATTTTAAAATGATCAATAATACGGAGTAAGGTAGATAATGTGTAATTATAGATGTCACATCTGTATCTATTGTCAAAATATAATAATAATTATATGTAATATAATATAGTATAATTATATATTATGTATACTATATAATATAATTATGCCATAATATAATTATACTGTAATATAATATATAACATAGTATAATTATATTATGACATAATTATAATTAATAATTATAATCTTTTCGATAACTATGAAATGAGACAGTGCACTTTTTATGTAACTGTAATGTAATGACTATGGAAAAAAGTAAAAAGTATCACAATCGCGATTATAAAAACACAAGTATTCTTTCTAACATTTATCTCTATACTCGACTTGAAATATATATAAATTATACACAAGTTTTAAATAAATCGAAACATATAGAACACGTCAAATAATTAAACAAGAAAATCCACGAATGACACAATTATATAATTACATTATCCGTTTCGAATATAAACGCGACGCGAGAAATAATTCACTAATTTCGATCGCTTTATTATACGAGGAATGCGAGGATTCAGTTAAGGAACACGTATCTTGCAGAGACACAAAACGAAATTGAGACGAAATCCGAAATAATAATACACGATGAGAGAAATTCGACGACGAAACGGTCTTACCTCGACGCTAGACTCAGCTAGACTGACGAGAAATTAGGCTACGTATTGCGCTATATACTTTGTTTAGGTGTGCGTTCGTCTCGCGTCGAGGTTTCCAAGAACTTCGTCTGGCAGAAAAATATCTGATCGACTCGAGCCTCGGTTCGGCTATTGTTTACAGTTTCTACATCGAGCGATTCCAAAACCGTCAGTTCTTTCTCTACCAACATGTATATGTGTATGTATGTGTGTGTCTCGCGACTGTCTCGTTATCGTAGTTTACTTTCATACACTCACGATGTAAGACTAAACACGATGAGGAAGGATAAAACGATATAGAAATCCTAAAGAAGATAGTACAGTTTAGTATGGAAAAAGATTGAAGGATTTTCGCGTAGCACTCAATGAGATTTATGAGAATTATTTTTATATAATATAATGTTTTAATTTTATTATATATAGCATTATTATTCTGATTAGCTTATAATAATATTAAATTTTTAAAGCAAGTAAAAAGCATGTCTCAATTTAATTTAATTTAGCAATTACAATTTTGTTATATTACAAGATATATAGGTACATAATTTAATACACAATTATAAATATACATACATATATACTTAAATTATTAATAAGAACTATAGGTCAATTATTAAACGAGCAAAATATTTTTGGATGTTAAGTAATTTTTATTTTATTATGTAATAATTGGAAGGTAAACGTTTCGATTGTATTCAAGTCTTTTTCAATACACAAAATTAAAAATAAATGAACATTTAAGTTTGTGTATATAATAAAATAAAAATTACTTAACATTAAAATATTTTGCTCGTTTACTTGGTCTATCCCTTATTAATCATTTTTTAATTTATACAAGCCTAATTATTAATTATAAAAAATATATGTATATGTATATATATAATTAGAATTCATATCTTTAAAATAGGGACATTTCTGAAATGACAAAAATTGTCATAAACTGCAGTAAAAAAATTATGTACATATACAATATATCTTGTGATATAATAAAATTGCAATAACTAAATTAAATTTAATTCAGACGTGTATTTTACTTGCTTTAAACTTAAATCATCATCATGATTATTTTAATACATTAGTCACTAAACAACAAAAGCGCGCGCTATTTCTCAATATTATATTAACTTTTAATATTTTAGAACTTGCCAAAAATACATTTTTCCTAATATTAATATTATTTTTTCTAATATTAGATTTATTTTTCATAGTATTAGTTTTGTTTTTCCTAATATTAGTTTTGTTTTTCCTAATATTAGCATTATTTTTCCTATCGTTAGTATTATTTTTCCTAATATTAGGTTTTAATATTAGTTAATTGAAAAAAAGAAAAGTCACTACAATAATTCCTTTCCAGAAAAAAAATTTTAATGCTCTGCATTTAAGCATTTAAATAATTATAAAGATTTTTTTACATAATATATATTCAGCTTAATTATATTTATTCAAAAGTGTTATACAATATTGTATTCAAATCACATATTTCACAATAAAGATTTAGTTTGCGATTGCAAGACAATCGCGATTTTAGAAATTGAAATAGGATCAAATTCAAAACTTCTTTAATTTATTGCTCGTTTTCAATTTCTCTCGAATTTGTGACATACAATAATTTATTCTGTATTAATATAGTATGTACTGTATTATGTACATAATTTTAATTCTTGAATTTCTATTATGCACATAATTTTAATTCGCCGTATTTCTATTATGTAAATAATTTAAACTGTACATAATAGAAATTTGGTAAATTAAAATTATAAATATGTAATAGAAATTCAAGAATACAAATTACGTACATAATAGAAATTTGGTAAATCAAAATTTAAAGCATAATAGAATTTCAAGAATTAAAATTATGTACACAATAAAAATAAAATAGACAAGAATAAATTATGTATACAATAAAATTATGTACATAATAGAAATTCAGCGACTTAAAATTATATACGTAAAATACGACAAATTAAAATTATGTGCATAATAGAAATTCAACAAATTAAAATTATGCACATAATAGTAATTCGGTGAATCAAAATTATATACATAATAGAAATTTGATGACATAAACATAAAATTATGTGCATACTAAATAATAAATCATGGATAAAAATAAATAAACAAAAATTAAATTATATTTACTTTCAAATTCTAAAAAGATATTTCTTGAGATAAAATGCATTGCAAAATTATATTATTCAAAAATAGTAGAGAACATAATGCTAAATATGTTACTTGAAATATTCAATGAGAATTATTGTTGGTGCTAAAATCCGGAAACGATAAAAACTATCGATTTGCTGTGACAAAAATAGGTTTACGACTCTTTATATCACTCATATATATTTCATCGTAATATATAATGATTGCTGGCAAATAAGACCTTTTTATCTGTGAAATAAAACGCCGATGCTGTTTCAAGGTTTAATATTTCTCAATAACGAAACTTTATATCCGACGCGTGAACTGTATTCCACTAATATCCAGAACTTTATAATTTCATTAGATTATTTTGACTTCAAATCGAGATCAGTTCCAGAGTACGATTCAATTTAATTTTGGAAACTGAAAAATTTGCGCGATTCTAAAATAAATTTGTCAGATTAAATAAACGTCACGTACAATTCTGGCGTCATAATTTAATATTTCTCATCTCATACACACACATACACATATATATGTATATATAAATAATTTGAAACTTCTATATAACTCAATTAAATAATACCATTTATTTTTCCGCTATTTCCTTTCATTTTAAGAGATAAAATCTTTTATTGAATTTGAAAAGCATATTTATATAGAAAAATATGATTTTTGAAGGAAATAAATAAATTAATGAATTAGAAAAAAATTAATTAATTTCGAAAACCGCGTGTCTCGAAGACTATGTTCAGTATTAAAAATGTTTTCATTTTCATTGATTAAATAATTTTAATCAATTTCACACTAAACAAAAAATGATTAAATTAATAAATATTTATTTCAATACTACCTCATAAATCATTTATTTAAAACAAATAAATATTTTTCTGTTTTGAAAAGGATTTTCTTATATCAAATAAATATTTTGTCACATCAAATCAATATTATTACCTTTAAATAAATATGATTTATAAGGCAGTGTGAAATAAATATTTATTCAAATTCAATAAATTTTTTTTCAATGCAGAAAGAATGAGAGAGATTTCGCGACAGCTTCTCGAAAAAAATGGACCCAACTACAGCTTCCTGCGAAATTCCACGTTGGCGACGAGCGAATTCAATCGACGTTTACACCGTGCTTACGCGCTACTTTAATCCAATTAAATCTGACAAGACGACAAGAACGTTGGCGGACCGGTAGAGCCAGGCACTCTTACGCGACATTACGATATATCCTTCCTCTTTCTTTTTCCTCGTCCAGCATTCCGCAGATCTAATACCCTGTAACTTGTTCCTGGCTCTCAGGGATCTATGTGTATATGTGTGTGTTTGTGTCCTGTCGTCGCCGATTATACGCGGGTTCGTCAAAAAAAAAAAACGGATTCGCTCGTAAAATTAAGAGCCGTATACACAATTACACCGATAAACTATCGACCAGTAAATTGATTCGCGAATTAAAGCCGTCGCGATGGCGACCCGATTATTCATTAATAGAGCAAACACGCGCGATAACTCGGTCGAATATTGAATCGGTTATTATTTTACGGCGTGTCTCTCTTGCGCAATATTGCAGGCTGGAAAGATCGGGATTCGCGAAGACGATAGTTAAGAAAAATTAACATTAATTAATTATATTAAAAATTAATCGTCCGTGGCAAATTTTTATTTCAAAAAGATCCACGTCAACTCGTAAAAAATTACCGAGATAATAGCTTTCAAGTTTACAGCAGAGTCTGTAGAATAATGCGAGGAAAACGATCTGCGATCGGTTTCACTTTGCTCCATCATGCACGGCGATTATAAGAAAGCGGGTTTATATTATACATATATATAACCCGCAATTACGCGCGAGACGTAAGATATAGAGACGCCGAATAACGTAATAGCCACGTGGCTGGTTTTCGGTGTTTTCTGCGTCCGGCGTGAATAACCGGTGCAATTACCGAGTGCATGAGAGGTTGCATTAACCTCCTTGACCCATCGCGATCTCACGACCTCGATCGAGATCATGCTTATTACTCTCGAATGCCGATGTACGGTCCGTTGCAAAAATTATTTATCGCCGCGTAAACGATACTAAATGTTTCCGAAATCTTGCAAACTTCGGACAAATAAAATGTTTCATTAAACTGTAAAAAAACTTGCGATGTTAAAAAAAAAAAATTAATAAGGTAGAAAGTTAATTTTTTGATAACTTTGAAATTAATCTGTCGCTCATTAAAAAACTTCTTCACTCGTGTATATGTAGATTAATACGTTCATTATGAAACATTGTGTAGCGACGCAAGAATTTCAAAGAAACACGGATATAATACTTTCTCGGCAAAGATCAAAACAGATATTTCCTTTTCATTGTGCTTCGTAATTATCGTTCTTTATACAAAGCCCGTTAGCTGAAAGTTGCGTGGAAAAAAAGCGTTCTCTCTCATTTTTCTTTTTTTTCGCGCGTTTTGCGACCAAAGGCAGGCGATATATTTTACGCGTCTCGGACATTAATCAGAGCCGCAACCGCATTTTTGTGCGATCGCGATTTTCAGGAGGAGGAAACTTCTTTCTTCCTCTTCTTGTCCTACGTAAGAATAAGCGTAAAGAAGAAACTTCGGTCGGACGTATCTCGCGAGAACGCGACATTAATCAACGCGATTCAACATTGTCTTGTTTTTTTTTTCTACTCTCAAGCTACGGGCGAAGCTTTTTGCGAGGTCCATCCAGCGTGTCCATAAAGGGAAAGGAGAGGAAACTGCGGCGCGTTATCCTTTGCGAAATTCAGCGGGCGAAGGGAAAGGAGGGACTATCCTTGGCACGAAGATATAAATTAATGATACTGCTCGCACTCGAATTTTTCTTATCCGATGAAAGATGAAGGAAGCGTGTCGCATTCGC